TAATAATTGAATTTTTAAATAAAAAATAAGTACCAAATAATACTATCTTCTTCTAAAAACTTTAGTTCAGTAAATCAAGAAAACCAATATCAAAATTAATAAAATTTATTTAAATAATTATTAACAAATCCATTATTAATTTTATAATCAACCTTATATATATTTATTATATGCAAGTCTCATCTTCAACTTACAATGTTTTTAAAGTAATACTAGTTACTTATTAATAACAAATATCCCAATTATTAATTTTTTAATTAACAGCACACGTTTTTACTATACGCAAGTTTCCTCAGCGACTTGCATTGTTTTTAAATTACAATAAAACATTGATTTATTTACTATTAACTTATTTTTCTTGTTCATTTTTTGTATAGGAAAACTTTAGCTTACTGAGAGTTGATGTTACTATCAAATATTATCCAAGTTTTGAGACCTAATTTATGAAATATGTGACTCCAATTTTTAGATAATTTTAGTACTGGCGCACATAGTGACCCGTTAAAATACCAGTTTTTGAAACATGTACTAATAAAAACGAACTTACCGAAATGTTGCCGTTTAAATCAACATGACTACTTATAATTTGACCGTGAATTCCATATCTATCATCTTCTTTCTAATTTCGTTATATACCTCTTAATACCATAAAATAACACGTATTCATATTCATATTCATTTCTACTTTTTATTGACTTTATTAAGCATGCCGAGTAGATCGTAAATTTCGGTTTTAATATTTACATTTATAACGTTATTATTTGAATTATACATAAATGAACAGGAATTAGATGCAAAATATCATAGCGATCGTAACATTTTTATTACGGGCTTTTGATTTATTTCATTTTTTTATTAGAATGCTATTTCATAAGTTCAGCTAATTGGTACGATGAAAACTTTCATGAGAGATATTTACACACACACACACACACACACACACACATATATATATATATATATATATATATAAGCCAAAAAATTAAAAATTAATTTATTTATTAATTTTTTTTAATTATTTGTTAATTCTAGCACGATTTTGATTAATCAAAGATAAGTTAGTAACGCTGAATTGAATAATACTTAGAAATGAGCTTTTTCTTATAAATAAAAATGTAATCACAACAAATAACACATATCAAACAAACAACTATCTGACTATGTTCAATATATTGTATAAATGTGTTTTTCATAAATTTGTTACCTGTACTTTTTTACACTGTAGACGGGGTAAATGGGGACGGCCTGGAGACAAAACAGTCCAATGTCTTACTTTAATTTTAATTTCGACATAAATATTCATCAGCAGAATTAAAATAATTATTTATTTAATTTTTTTCTTGCAAAATTGCTTTCTTAATTTAGTTTACTTTTTTATTAATTATTTTTATTGTTTACACCTTTGTAAAGGTTTAATTGGAACTTTTTGCCCTTCCCATGTCTAAGCTTTTATTAAAGTTATATAAAAAAAAACTGTTGAAACTGCCGTTATTTTGTTAGAAATATTTATCAGGGTTAGAATAACTATTTATTTAATTTGTCTTTTGTAAGATTTCTTTTTTTAACTTAATTTACTAACTTCATTTACTAATTTTTATTGTTTACAGCTTTGCCAGGGTATATTAGGTCATTTTTTCTCCACCCACGTGTTAGCTTTTATTAAAAATATATGAAAAACTGTTGAATCTAACCTAAAACTAGCTGTAAGTGGAATTCTGTCTTAAGGCAATTAAGGCATCGTGCCTTGAGGCAAATTGCTGGAACTTCCCGTACCAAAAATTATTATTTTTTTAAAAACGATTAACATTTTTGAAAAAATTTTACTTCGAAAAAATGAGATTTTTTAGAAATTTTAAATTGGACAAAAAATTACTTTTTTTGAAAATAAATTTTTTTTTTAAAAAAAAATTTTAAACAATTTTTTTTATAAAAATTTTTTTTTGGAAAAAATGTTATCTTCATTTTGATATATTTTGGAAGACCTGAACTTTTTTTCAAAGCAATCGTACTGCTTTAACTGCATAGAGACAAAATATAAAGCGCGTAAGCGCCGCGTCGCTGTCTAACAGAAAAACAATGGTACGGAACCCATAGGAATGTAAACAAAACTTATACTTATTGTAAAAATCTCAATAAAATATCTGATAATTTGATATGCATATGTCTAATGTCTAATGATTATTGTTGACCGCCAAATGTTATTTTTTTTTAGTTTTTTTTACTAGATCTCCGAAACCGCTAGTCCTATCTTCATGAAAATTTGATCAAATCTTCATCTTGTTAATACAAGTAAAATGTTTTTTGAACTATACAAATCGAACGCTCCGTTCTCTTAAAAACTAAGTTACCGTTTTTGGCCCTTTTTGCCCCATATCTTCGGAACGGCTAGAATGTTTTTTGAATTATTCAAATTGCTTTATCCGTGTTCCCGAAATCGTCGACGAAAATTTGTATCCGAACACACACACATGCACGCACACACACACACATACACACACACATACATCAATTTTCTCCAAGGTATGCCAACATATTCAGAAACCTCTGAAACGTGAAGATATATAAAAATTTTCATTTTCGATTTTTTTGCGATTACTTACCCTATGGAAAGTTAATTATAAATAAATCAATTTATGATCTCCAGAACATTAACAATCGTCATTTCATTTCGAATCAAATTCCAAAAAAAAATAGTTGCCAAATTTACACAAAATTGAAAAAGTGCTCCCGCATAGTCACAGTCTAAACGCATTTGCAAATAATTCTGTGCGACATTTACACTTATGCTGTGCTCAGTTTGGCGGCATTTTCACATTTTTCAATAATTTTCACAAAATTGGAAAAGTGCTCCAGTACACAAACAGTCTAAACGCACTTGCGTAAACATTTCTACCAGAGTGGCGCTTAGACTGTGCTTAGCTTGGGTGATTTTTTGAATTTTTAGTCCAAAATTACAAAAAAATTTTTTTGAAAAAAAATTAGAAACAAAAAATTTTTTTTCCAAAATCAATTGTTTTGTTGAAAAAAGCAGAAAGTTCTTTGAATCATTTAAATCGGACGCTTAGTTCTCTCAAAAACAGCCATTTTTTTTAATTTAGCTCTGTAACTCCGAAACCTCTGGGCCTACCTTTGCCAAAAACTAATCAGCACATCTCCCTATCAATAGGAATCGAATGTTTTTTAAACCATTCAAATCGGTTGATCCGTTCTCTCAAAAATTCGCTTTCTATTTTTTGCACTCTTTGCTCCATATCTCCGTAACGGCTGGACCTGCCTTTGCCAAAAACTAATCAGCACATCTCCCTATCAATAGGAATCGAATGTTTTTTAAACCATTCAAATCGGTTGATCCGTGCGCCCGAAAACGTGGACGAAAAAACGCGGACATACAAAACACACACACACACACACACACACACACATCCATTTTTTCTGAGGTATGCCAAAATGTTCAGAAACCTTCAAAACGTCGAGAAATGTAAAAATTTTTGATTTCGATTTTTGGACGATTACTATAACTTACCCTACGGGAAGTTAATTAACAATACTTCTTATGAAAAATTAAATAACGTATACTTGATAGTTTTAGTAAGGTCACATAAACTAAACAACAGTGCTCATGACAAAAAAAGTACTTTTGTTATGAATTTTCAAACACTTCCATATATCTCCTGATAGCGAAGTTATAAAAATTAATGTTATTGCTCGTTATACATCTGTTTCCCTATACTTTCAAATATTGTTGTTAAATGTTCTTAACTTTACTTGCTTTTGAGATGTCGGTGGTGGACCTTTTTACCTCCGGACCTTTTAGCCTTGCTTTATCCTATATTATATTTAATTATTTATTAATCATTGACAAAGAATTCGACTTCCGAATCGGTAATTGAACTACTTGTAAGTTAATGTTTCATGTATTAATATATCACTTTAATCAGTTTTTTTTTAACATTTTTAATTACAATATGTCACACGTAGGTTTTAATTAGTATAATAGGTAGAATATAATTTTGCTACAAGATTTTTTTTAATTACTATATTTGTCACAACTGCTAAATAATTAACATCTAGTAACAGTAATAAACAATTATAAAAATTTAGTAAAAAAAACACAAAATAAAGGATAGAGTTTTCAATAAAATGATGTCCGTAGTATGTTGATATAAAAGCAAATATTAATAAAAGTTGATGAAAGCAAATAATAATAATAATAAAATTAATAAGTGAGATAAATAAAATTTCTGAATAATAAAATTAATCACTAGAAAAACAATAATGTAGAATAAAAACAATAAGTGAATAATAATGATAAATATAACAAAATAACAATATTAGAAATAATAAGATAAAAATAATATAATAATAATAATTTTGCTCCAAGATAAAAATATATAAATATATACATAATTTATACATACTCACTTCAAACCTGTATTTTTTTGTACATTTTAATACTTTTATTTGATCAACATAGTATAATAACACATCACTCGCTTTATTTATAAATATTTCTTTATTTAAATAATTAAAAAATATTATATGATAAATTTTAATTTAAGTTAAGTAGAGCAAACTTTATGTATATTATTATTGTTTTAAATTAAGCTGCTGTTTCTAATGTAATATTATCCCTAATATCATGGTTCTCATGCTTGAAGGAAGTTCAAATGACTTAATATAGTTTATTTCATTTTTCCAGATCTGGAATACCCTACTTCAAACCTATATTTTTTTGTAAATTTTAATACTTTCATTTGATAAACATAGTGTAATAGCACTTTTTTTATTCTTGGCTTTTGACTTATACAAAAAAATATTATATGATTAATTTTAATCTAGTGTTTTCAGTAGAGCAAACCTCATTTTATTTAATTAGGCTGCTATCCCTAATATAATAATATTCCTAATATAATTACTGGTTTACACGCTCTAAGGAAGTTCCAATGAATTAATCCAATTTATTTCATATTTTTCTAGATCTGGAATGCGTAGCGGCTAGTATGTCAGGGGCCCGAGCGGGCTCTAGTTGTACACCACGATGTTTGCTGCTGTGTGCGGCCCTTTGCATCGTGTGGGGGTCGCGTGCCGTCACGGGCGCGCGTACCGGCCAGTGCGCCCATCGGCAGCGGTCGGCGCTCGACTACGCGCTTTACAATGTCTCCAGGCACCACGGAGGAGACTTCTTCACAGTAACAGGTAAATAGACAGAAATTAATTTATTTACTTATTATATGGGCTCGCCCATATATAGGTGAGCAATTAAGAGCGAGGGGACTTGATTAAGAAGTCCCGGGTTTGAAACCTGCTTTAACCCCTTAACGAGTTAATTCGAGCGCGTTAAACCGGCCAACCTGTGCACACTCGAGATAATTCGAGCGGTGCTGAACATATTTGTTGCTGAAAATAAATATTAGTATTATTTTTGTTGTAAAAGTATAAATAAATATTTTAACTGATAAAAATGTTTTACACGAAATAGTAATTCGAAACAAAAAATTAAAAAGTCGATGGACGTGTAACATTGCAATATTCAACTCTTTTCTGCAATGTTGATCAAAATCCAAAATTAAACTAAAAATTTTGATTAATTTAGATTTTTTTTTATTTTTTTGCCAAAACGATGTTCTAAAGTTTGTTTTTTCACATTAAAAAAAAATGGCCGGGTTTTTTTCAAAAAAACTGTGCGTTAAGGGGTTAAGCTACCTGTTGTCAAGCAGTAGTGAAAACGGTTTTCACTTGGAAATATAGACCTCAATATGTTTTCAAGTAAAAATAGCCCATGCCGGGCTATAATCTAAAAGTCGGCCCTTTTAGATTAATTCTAATAATGGATGGATTTGGTTACCATCTAAAAATCCGTAGTAAGAAGTTTTAGCCCAACAGCTCATAGGAAGTAAATTTCTGATTGCTGTTATGATATGTCTAAAATTACTATAACTTATCCTACGGAAAGTTGAAAAATGTTCCGGATATAATATTACGATTGACTTTTGGCGAAATTAAACTTATAGAACTTTCCTAACTTTGCAGAAACGTGAGTCTTTGTTTACATAAACCAAACAATAGCTAAACTAATAAGTAAATTAGATTCATTGCTCAAATAATAACAAAGAAATTTTTTTGTAGTAGATTTATTTAGCAATCAGAAAAATTACAATATTTTTATAAGCTAAGAGAAAACTAAGTGACTGTTAAAATAAGATAGAATCCACTGATCTATTTTGCAATGTGTTGCTTAAAATATATATCTTCAATGATTGTAATTATATACTATGTAGAGGCCATTTTCTCTTCAATCTTGAGTTTTGTTAGGGAGGAATCCTTTAGAGATTCATTTGGGTGCATCTCTAATCTTTTGTGGTATTTTGTTGACAGTTCTTTGTAGGTTTCGTGCACAGTCAACATCCTTAGGTAATAATAACAAAATTTACACAAATTTTAAACATATTTTTAAACTGACTCCTGAAGCCTGCTGATGAATATAGTACAGCATTCATTAAATCTAATTCACTTATACATTCTACAAGTAAATCAAAACAAACCACGCTAAATAGGTGCGTTTCAAAAGCATTCAAAAATTATGTAATTTCAATAATTTTTACTTAAGAACAATTTTAGTAGTTTTGTTTTAAGGAAGCGTGTAAAGTCTCAACTAACTTCTTAAGAATAATGTAATTAATTAATAAAATAAATTTTAATAGAATGTGTGTTAGACTCTATAGTTTGTTAATTCACTTTGCAATTCTGATAAGAGGCAAAACTTCCAATAACTTTCTTGAAATTTGTTTTCCTTGTGCGATTTGCTCAACAACTATGGATTAAACGACAACTTCCAGCGTTATTCGAATTCTTGAGACTTCAGTTACTCACTAGTATTAGATAATAAAAAAAAATATTTCAATATATGTACATATTACGATTTTAAAACAAGTTGATCGATACTCGTAATTCTAGTCCTAACACATATTCATTGATGACTTAATTAGAATGAATTCAACATCTACTACTACTAATATATAATGGCTTATATAATTTGAGATATTAAGAGTAGTAATTATACATGGTCATATTTCAATTGTCGGCGTCTAAATTATTATCATTATCATTACGTATAATAATAGAGATACATTTACAGTAACGAATTTATCTATCTTGATATTCAAAATGTATGTGCCGATATGTCTGTCGTGAATCAGTGTTAATTAATCGGGCAAAGATAATAATCTAATTAATTAATATTAAAGTCAAGCAAAAATAAAAAAGTATTTTTCATGAATGCATATCTGTTTTATCTCAAACGGATATTAGTTTTCCAATCTTTTTCAATCAATTTCCTTCCATTTTTATTTCAGGCCCGCCCGGCTGTTGTCCGGAAACGTGCGTCGGAATATCCTCAGGTAGCGCTGGCTTAGCCACTTCTTCGGACGAAGATGAAACGGGATGTTTGTGCAGATGTCACGAACATCTGCCGACTTTTCGCGAAGATTTGAAAATTTGCATAGATGACATCAATGGTAAGTGGTAATTAAACAATTTATGTTATATATATACGAGTATATATATATATATATATATATATATATATATATATATATGCAAAATGAATAAAAATCTATTCACTCCGGATATGTATGAGTTTTTCTCTTTCAAGAACTACTTGCTTCTGCTTAAATTTATCTATTTTTAAATTTTTTCTTAATATTATTTATGTCTCATTATTATATGTGTAGAATATTTCTAAACAATAATAATTAAAAGAATGACAAAAATCTGTCACAATCTCATAATATAATTGATAAAGTGAAATACATTTTTTGAAAAAATATTCATTTACCTACTCCTCATTTAAATTATCTACTTTTTTATTTTCAAAACTTGTCTGAAGATTACAAGACTATAAAAATAGTATGAAAAATATGTACAAATGTATTTGGATTATCAGATTATGTTTGTACATAACTCATTCTTAAGCTGTGTATAATTACGTTCACCTTAATATTCATGAGCGACGGGAGTTGTTTCAGAGGTCCCGGGTTCGATACCCAATTTGAGCAGCCTGTTGTCAGGCAGTAGTGACAACAATTTTTACTTGGTAATAAAGATAGCAATATGTTTCCAAGTGAATTCATGTGTGTGTGTGTGCGTGTGTGTGCGTGTGTGTGTGCGTGTTTGTGTGTGTGGATACAAATTTTCGTCAACGATTTCGGGAACACGGATCAACCGATTTTAATAATTAAAAAAAACATTCAATTCTTATTGTTAAGGAGACGTGCTGATTAGTTTTTGGCGAAGGCAGGTCAAGACGTTCCGAAGATACGGGGCAAAAAGTGCCGAAAACGGTAACTCGGTTTTTAAGAGAACGGAGCGTCCGATTTTAATAATTCAATAAACATTTTACTTGTATTGACAAGATTAAGAATTGAATTAAGAATTGATTAAGTTTCATGAAGGCAGGTCTAGCGGTTTCGGAGATCTAACAAAAAAAATAAAAAAATACCATTTGGCGGTCAAAAATGATCATTAGACATATGCACATCAAATTATCAGATATTTTATAGAGATTTTAACAATAAGCATAAATTTTGTTTACATTCCTATGGGTTCCGTACCAATGTTTATCCGTTGGACGGCGACGCGGTGCTTACGCCCTTTGACATTTCGTCTCTATGCAGTTAAAACAGTACGAAAAAATAGTTCAGAATTTCCAAAATATATCAAAAATATTAATCGTTTTTATAAAAATAATAATTTTAATACGGGAAGTTCCAGCAACTTGCCTTAAGGCACGATGCCATGCGTCCCACTAGTTTTTCTTTTTTTTTATTAAGAAATTGTAATTATGTTATTTGATTGTGAAAGAATATAATTGTTATATAATTTATAATATAAAACCTTGATCATTTAAATCATTTTTAAAAGAAAATTTAATTTAAAATATGTGTTGATTACCTATTCAAATTATTATTTATTTATTACCGCTAGTATCATTGTCAATTAAATTATCGGTCGGTTAAGTCATAATCAATCCAAATTCGCAACAGTTATAATTTTGTGCTTAATGTTCTTCAAACAATGACAGGTAATGAACCAATAAAACTTAATGTATATTTATGTATTGTTTTCTTTTAATTGCAATTCATGTTGCAAGTGCTCGTCTAATGTTATTGTAAAACGTTTGTTCTGATTTATGTCTATATGCCAAATGCTTCTAACGATTATGCGTTGGTTTGGACATAGATTCTCAAACATGGAGAATAAATAAATTATTGATAGTTTATTTTTTAAATACGTATTTTATAGTTCATTTGTTTGCATATTTTATTACAGAATACATAATCATAACTTTCTTGATTAAAACAGCTTACACCAATCTCTATACTCTTTACTACTTTTATTAATCTTTATATTATTAGTATACAATCATTTTTATTGTCAGAGACACTCTAACAACATATTACTCATACTTTGTTAAAAGAAGAAAATATTTGTTAACACATTAACTGCTAATGTGTAATGCTTTATACTTTCCTCTGTGCTACACTTCTTTATTTGTGGATATGAGAGCTTAAAATTATTTGTTGAAATTTAAATAATTTAATAAATTTATTTCTGGATATGAAAGTTCAAAATTTTATAAAATGTACCAAAATAGAATATATTATTGGCACCAAAAGAGTTTCATTTTTATTTGAAATAATTATAGTACAAAATGTTCTTTACATAGATACATACACATTTTTCTAACATACGAAATAATTTTTTCAGTTTTAATCTTTATATCTGAATATCTTTATATTGAGTTCATGTGTAACTCAGATCACGAACCTGCCCGTGCCCAGTAGGGGAGACTGGCTACGGTTGTGCCAGTTTTTTTTTTTTTTTTTTTTGATGAACTATAATTCTGTTAATTCACCAGTCAGCTGGGAGAAAAGTAAACTAAATGGTATTTGAGCATTTGTCTATATGAAAATACTAAAATAGCGTCCTCAAGTACGACGGATTAGTCATAAAATTATATCATACAAAAAAAATAGACAATGTCACAACGGCACAACCATCCCATTATTATCTGAATATCTAAACTATTGTGAGGATTTTTTACTACTTTGCTAAATTTGACAAACAAATTCTTAATGTAGGGTTTTAAGAAATACAAACATCATTTTGCAGCAGGTATTGTATTCTTCCTTTTTCCAAAATTTTACTCGTACCTTTTCGAGATTTTTCTTAATATCTGCTCCGTATGTGACAGAAATATACCAAATGAATAACTTAATCAAATGGTTGAGTACCCTTGACTAATTCATCACAAGTGATGTGAATTCTCAGCAGTAGAAATATTTATATTAGCGAATTGTGAAAAAATGATGCTTGGACGATAAGTGCGAACTCACGTTGAGAACAAGAGTACTCTTTCGTGTCTCTCGGTGTGATGGACGCAGCGGTGCGTCCGTAAACGATTTTATTGCCTTATGAGCAATTCGTTCAGGATTAAATAATTTTATATAATAAAATCTGTTCTAGGATAATCTTTCTATTTTAACTTATATCATAATCAAATCATTTTTTACAGTAAAAGCATGCATTGAATTCTTTTGTTCCCATTTTGACTTATGAGTAGTGAGATGAAAGCATAATAGTCTAGTCATTATAGTAAGTTTACCTCGGAATTTGAAATACCCAGCTGTAAGTCTGTAAATACTTGTATTTTGTACCCTAAAAGTTGTCTCAGAACCTACATATGTTGCGTACACTTTACCATATGTAGGTTTTGAGACTACTTTTAGGGTGCAAAATACTAGAATTTACAGACTTTTAGCTGGGTATCTCAAATTCCGAGATTCTAACCTAATTTAAGCTCAATTGACTGGACTATATGCTCATCTAAGAATAAGCTTACCAAAGTAATAATAAGATATCAAATTTGTTCGCTAATAATAAAAATAGGTGTAATTTATAAGATAAAGGTACTTTATAAATCAGGAGTCGTACAATTTGTTATGAAAGGTCTGCCAACTTTTTATGTATTTTTTGGCAGCAAATTAAAATTTGTAGACAACAATAGACAACCATTTGTTTGAAATTATTTTTCATTATTAACCGGAAGGTACAATTCTTCAAATAAATAAAGAAAAGTAAAACATTTAGTAGTTGTTTTGTAGTGGACCCGTTGTCATTTTTAGTCCTTATATTTATGAAAGAGAATTTTGATTAGCAGTAGGTATATAAAATTATCAAATCATACAAATTATTATAAGAAAAAAATCTTTTTAAAGCTAACACACGTAGTATAAATTTGAGTATATTTGATTTGATTTATTTGATTTTATATTATTTACTTAATTATCTATCTATCAGTATAAGATGTTAAATCAATTGTTAACAACGTACAAAAAAAAATAAAAAAATACGTTCACTGATTAAGCAGTTCTTTGCAGAAATGGCAGGGTAAAACGAAAAAAATATATAAAGTAGATTGACAAGTAGATCTATAATAGTTTATTAGGATTTTTTTTCAATTTATTTTGTTAATATTTGATTTAACTTTTTTGTGCCAACAGTATGTTGTTGTACTATTGTTTATCTCTAAGTTCCTCACTTTTTATGGAATAACAATGGAAATAACGATCAATTATCAAAATAAATTCGTTTATAATCATTATATTACTAAAGTATTATGTGAATTAAATTGTCCAAATTATTCCAAAGTCACGTTGCTGAACAGGGTAATCATATCCTCTTTATCATAATATTGTAATGCATCCAAGGAATTATGATACATTATCGTAATAAATTTATAACCCATAATGTATGTTGGTCAATTAAGGAAGCATTAATAACCTGAAATAAGTACGCAAAAAACTAAATTGAATTTTAATTAAAAGCTCAATTCAGTGATAGTGCGCAATTTAACAACATATTTATCATAATTACATCGATGTTCCGGGCCAATAAAGTTGCATTTTTCATTATACATCTCCAATCGAATTTATTATATCAAAGTTCTAAGTTAAATGCAAATGAAAAAAATATTTCAGATTAAATAGTTATAAAAGCATTTGTTTTCTCCAACTGTGATTTTAATTATACTTTAATCTATCAAATCTCTTGAATTAAAATTATTATCATTGTTGTTTTGTATTTTTTGAAGTAAGAAAACAGTTCAAATAATTGTGAATTTAATAATAATAATTTTTAATAATAATTTAGAATACAGCCTTACGAAAAATAGTTTGCTAAATAAAACAGAGTTTAAAAAAAAGTAGCTTTGCTGTTTCTGTGAGAAATTTTAAATAATGAATTGATCATTTAATGATCGCTTGAAAATTTATTTTAATTACTTTCCTTACATTCGAGCTTAAAACAATCATCTCATAATGACTGAAATTACAACTTGTATACAGAGAGTACTATAAATATTATTTTTCAAAAGATGATCTGATAATATCACCACGATGTTTATCAGAGCGAAAAACTCACTAAATATATACGGTTCAATTTATTTTAATCGTCT